CCAAATACAGTTAAAATCGTATTATAGAAAACTCCTATTATTCCCTGAAAAGTAGATTAAATCAAAATAGACCATAGTAACGTCCAGCTTCCTAAAATCCCACTGTTGACTTTAAAGATACAGATTATACAGGTCACAAGTTTATTAGCACATTTGAGAAGGCATTTGCTTAGAAAGTTCTTCACAGCTCCATTTTTATCCTAGAAAGTCAAAGATTTCACTGCATCCACAATAAAACTTAGCTCCTGGTGCTGCTCTTGAAATATAAGGTGAACATACAATAAGTTCCTAAAAAGACTGAGTATGCAATGTTAGTATGCAACATAGTAACATTGTAAATTATCCATAATACTTAATATGAGTTAAACGTGTACATAAATCAGCTGAACTTTAATAGAGTATATTTTGTTTAGTGAACATATGCAAGAAAAGTGAGAGAATCAAACTGAAAACAGTAAAGTACACACTCAGTTTAAGTTGATCCTCAACTGCCACCAAGTCTTACCTTTTCAGGTCAACAGTTGTGACACTAAACACAACTCCTTTAAGCCAAAGAATCATGAAGAGCCTCTGGGAAAAGGGACAGTTTCCTATGCTTTCACCATCACTGCCAGCCTGGGAAACAGAAATAAACATTTAAAAACAAGGTCAAAGTGATGATAATACTCAAAACATATTTCTGAATGCTAATTAAGGATACTAGAAGACAGGAAAAGTTGCATTATGGAAGGAAGGGTGGAAATTCAGGTGTTTATTATTTGACTTGCATTTGCCTCTCTCTTTTCTTAAAAATGCCCAGACTAGTACAGCACTGACCAAGAGAACTTTTTGCAATGATAGAAATTATATTACACTGTCCAGCATGGTAGTCACTTGTGATACGAGTACATTAAATATGGCTAGTTTGACAGAATTGAATTTTTAATTTTACTTATTTTTAATTAATTCAAATTCAAATAGCCACATATGGCTAATGGCTACCAAATTGGACAGCACAGGTCTAATCAATCCTTACGGGGTACATATATTCTTGCCTTGGGGCAAAGACAAAGTCTATCCTAGGTTTTATGAAATGTAAGTCATTTCTTTTTCTATAAGACAGTATTCTTTATAAGGCAACATAAAAAGGAAAACTTGTGCCTGTCTCTGAAGAATAAAGTAATCGCCAACATCCCTTGCATTTAAAAGTGATTAATTATAAAAATCCCATATCCTGTTTTTACACATTGTTCAGAGCAGCAAAATAACAAAAGATATCTTTATAATAAATCATTTGTAATCTGACTTAATGAATGGAGCCGTTGGCTCCCCTGAGTTCAATGATGAAGTAGAATTTTCCTAAAAAATCAGAGTGGGGCAAATCTTTAATTCCATCATATGTGCCCCCAGTTTAAAAAGCAGGGCGGGGGGAAGCAGGAAATGAGAAAAAGAGCCAGCACACTGGAAGAGAACATTCTGACACTTATTAGCAGCCAACACAGTCCTCTTCATCATGAAGTTTATGGACAGAGCCAGAAAGTAACTTTAAGCAAGTTATTCAAAGACGCTGGTAAAAGAACTGTTTATTATCCTAAAGTAACTCTCAAAAACTTCAGAAGCCATTTCAGTAAAATATTACATTAGTAAAGTCATTAATTCCTAAAGTAAAGTCATTAATTCCTAAACTAATGAGAAAATGGAGGGGAGTTTCTAAAAAAGCAAAAGCAGTTACCTGACTAAACATAATGTAACCAACAAAATACATGGGCATATAAGATGTCAGGACCCTACTCTAATCAGACAGCATGGGATAGTTACAACTGATCTTGGTTCAAAAAAATTTTTTTATTCTTTATCAGTAACAAAACATACACAGAACTGTAGCCAGAGTGAACTATATTAATTTCTAATACTGCAACTTGTATAAAATTTTACTTCCTAAAGAAGTTTCACTTCTTAAACTTTGGTATGATTAAGATTAACCCCCCCAAAAAACATTCAAAATTAAGACCTCTTTCTGGGCCTTACAACCAGTGATTCTGATTCAGAAGAATTCCTGGGGTGTAGCCCAGGAATCCTTACTTTGTTATAGGCAGGCAAGGAGACCACTAAGTGAGGCATCTGATGAACACATTGAGAAATTCTGATGTGGAAAAGTTAGGACGATATTTCTTCTTCAGAACACTGGTCAGTTTATAGTACCAAGTCATCCTACTATGTAATATGTATAACAAATTGGCAACCCATATTTGCTTTTTTGAAGATGCTGACCACCTAACCACGTATGGAACACTGATAACACACAAGTGAGTTTATACAGATAAAAAGTTAACATACGACCTTTCTATATAGCTTGATGATTCATATTTTCACACAAAGCTGCAGCTTTAGATAACTAAATTTGTTTATTTTTTTTTTTGCACTTTTCCCCTCCCTGCTTTAACATGCTTCACAGCAGAAGTATAAGTACAAGAAAAAGTACAACAAATTTGAGCCTTACTGAAAAAGCAGCAAAGTCTGGTAGACAAAGAACAAGTATGACTCAAGGTCTTCATCCTATTCCATTTATTTAATCTATAAAGTTAACTATAATTTCCCAAGCTCCCTGTCATGGCAGTGTTAAAATAAACAAATTGACAAAGAAGATGGTAAATAGAGATGTTCTATGGAAGCACTTGGAAGCACATTCAACTAAAGGGAAGCTGGAGATAAACAGTGACTAGCTACAGATCAAAGCCCTGCACTGTCATTTCCTACAACGGTCTGCAGAGCGTATCGCAGAGTACAGACTGAAGAATCTTGGTATACGGAGTGTGGCAGAAGAATCTGCCTCATGAAAACCTGGTTAGATTACAAATGCCCTTTGCTTTCACCTCCTTTGTCTATAATTTCCTACCAACTTTCCAATTTATTTCTTTGAGGTATAGCAGAAGCTTGTTACACATCTCACACTCATCAAACTACTTTTCCTTATGCACAAATAAAAGCATGTGTACTCTTTAAGATAAATCTGGAAAACTGCCTTTTTATTAACTGTTCTCCCAAAACTCATGACAATTCAAATAAGAAATACTGCCATGAATATCTTTTCCCAAAGTTATAACAGGACTAGAAAACTCAGAACTACTAGCCAGATGATGTTTTCATAAAGTATAGTCAAGCTGTGGAAAAATTCAGATTTCCAGCAGTCATAAATCAAAAACATCCTCCTTTAATCCAAATTGTACTAATAAAATTCCATTTCAACAAAGTTAAAGGATCAACGTTACTCTCTTCAGTATGAACTACACTGAATAAAACCTATTTGTACAACTGACTGAGGAGGGTATTACGGTATAATGAAAAGCACACTGAGAATCAGGGTAACTTATTCTACAACCAGCTTTGTATTAATGGTAAAAAATTAACACATAGGTCTCTAACAATGGCATCCAAAATAGATAGATTTGCTTTTGAAAAATTGCTTCTAACAGTAATATATACACTGACTATTTTTTAAATGAAAACTGACAACACTACAGAAAGAGTTCCCTTACCCTTGAATCCTTCACTACTTATTCTTCCAGATTTTTATTTTCTATGTACACACTACTTTTTTTAAACCTGTGATCATGTTTTACAATGTATCTATTTTTTTCCAAATTAATGTAATCAACTTTCTAGGGGCTGTGATGCTCCCACCAGGATGGTATCTGAGAGGGCCAAAGAGGGAGCCAGGGCTTTCAACCCTGCCAGCCAGTAATGAGAAATCTTCCTCCCCCACTTGGGGGTGGGGAAGTGGGGAATGTCAGAGGAGGAGGTCTAGTACAGAGTAGTCTGGACTTTCACCATCAACCAGCAATAATGAGGTCCCCTCAACTGGGGTGTCAGTGAAGACCACATAAGGAGCTGGAATGCTCACCTCTGCCCGGCAGTAATGAGGAGCCTTCCCACCTTGGGTATCAATGCAGGCCAAGTAGGGCACCTGGACTTCTATCTCCACCCAGCTGTTACAAGGTGGTATAGCCGCCCTTCTCCCCTCCCACTCTCCTCCAGAGCAGTGTCAGAGAAGTCTTATTTGAGTGTTAGAGAAGTTTAAACATGTTTAAACAAGATCCAGAGTCTCATAACATAATAAGAAAATGTTCAGGTTTCAACTGAAAATCACTTGTCATACCAAGAAGGGTATCAAACTGAATGAAAAGCAAGCAATCAATAGATGTCAACATCAAAATGACTGAAATTTTAGAATTATCTGACAAACATTTTAAAGCAGTCATGACAAAAATGCTTCAATGAGCAACTATGAACAGTTTGAAACAAAAGAAAAAATAGAAAGCCTCAGCAAAGAAATACAAGATGTGAAGAAGGACCAGAAATTTTAAGGACTGGAAAATACAGTAACTGAAATAAAAATCTAAGAGGTTGGGTTCAACAGGCATGGAGGGGACAGAGGAAAGAAATCAGTGAACTGAAAAATAGAACAATAAAAATTACCCAATCTGAACAACAGAATAAAGGTAGACTGAAAATTTAATACATCTTACATATTTTCAGATTTAAATGTCATCCAATGGTCATTTTTGAAGGCTTCATTGTATGCAATTGACCCAACAATTTCACACCTAGAAATTCATTCTGTAGAAATACTTATATAGATATCCAAAGATACAAGTAAGACAGAGGAACAATAAAGCACTGTTTATGACAGCAAAACACCGGAGACCACCCAATGCCCATCAGTAAAGGACTTGTTAAATGATAACACACCATCAGAGGGTAGAAGCTGGGACTAACGCATTTGGCCTTTGCTGGCATGGGTGGGGCAGAGTCATAGATTTTTCCTGTGGTGCTTGGAATAGAGCAGCTATTGTGCGGAAGTTTGGTCTTAGTTAGGCTGCCCCTTTCCTGGTTCTTCGGCTAGAGAGAGCAGACTTTTGTTGGAGTTTTTGTTTGTTTGTTTTTTCACTTTTTCTTTTTTCATTTCTGGGTCTACAACTGTTGGTGTTTCCAGGTTGTTTGCTTCTATAGCTCCAAGTCTGAGGATATATGAGGCAAAAAAACCAGGAAACTCACCACAACCATCCATCCACTCCATCTTCCCAAAAATGTAAGTTTCTCGGGAGTATTAAACTTAAAAAGCAAAATTAAAAATATATAAAAGGTGGCATTATACATAACAATGGAATTTATTTGACAATAAAAAGCAATGAAGTACTGATACATGCTGTATCTTGGATGAACTTTGAAAAATTATGCTAAATGAAAAAGGCCAGTCGCAAAAGACCACATTATTATATAATTCTATTTACATGAACTGTCCAAAATAGGCAAATCCACAGACACAGGAAGTAGATTAGCAGTTGCCTAGGGTTTGGGGGTGGGGGAGGTGGAGAAGGGGAGGAGGGTTGGAGAATGACTACTAATGGGTACAAGGTTTCTTTCTGGGGTGATAAAAATGCTCTAAAATTAGACTGTGGTAATGGCTGCATAACTTTGTGAATATACCAAAAAAAAACCAACCACTGAATTGTACGCTTTAAATGGGTGAATTATATAATATATGAATTATATCTCAATAAACCTGTTTTTAAAATATATAAACACAGATTACAAGTATAAATATACACATACTGAACAAAATTTTAATTTGAGAT